CTTTCCACCCCTGATTTCCTGTGTCCATTCAACCAGCTCCTGACCCTCTCTGCCTTCTCATCTCACCTCTGGACAGGAGCTGCCCATTTAGTCTCACGTATCTACTTGAGCTGAGAAGCACACTCTTCGCGAGTATCATTTTATGTCCCACGGTCCAGTCCAATCTTCGTCTGAAGAGTTGGCTTCGGAAATTGTTTTAGTTCTGGGCTGACAGTCCAGGGTGCATGGCTATTTTTGGATGAAAATGACAGAAAATCCTGTTTTTCCAAATTTGCTCCTGCAATATTTCGTATCTTCCAAGCCAGAAACCCACAAGTCATCCTAGACTCTTCTGAACAGACCTTCGTTGTTCGTTACTTGGGTCTTGTGCCTCAATAGCTTCCTCGCCCTTTTGCTCCTTTATGTTCGTCCCGTAGGCCTTCTTGCCTCCCTCCTGGAATATTGTAGGAGAGGTCAACCAGGTCTCCCAGCCTCGAATCTGTCACCACCTCCAGTCAATCAGCCAAGTCGCTGCCGTGGTGATTTTCTAAAATGAGAAGCTTCAAGTATCACATCTCTCCTTAAAATCCTTCATTCGTTCAGAAAATTTTTGAACTCCGTATTTTAGAACACAAAACCCCTTTAGCATCCAACTTCTACTCACTGCTCTCACAAATATCATTTGACCTGCTTGAGCTCTGCTCGGCAGTTTCTCACACTTGTCACGTGCAAGGGCCATGGGGCTGCAGGACGCCTGGGCTGGCATCCTCCCTCCAGGCTCCGCCTTGAATGCCTGGGTGTGGCTTCTGTAGCTCCCATTACAGACTCCATCACCAATGCCACTTAGCACTCTCCATGGTAACCGTTGGTTGGTGTTTCAGGTTTTCATGAAGGGTTGTGCGTTAGTTAGGGTTATGTCCCCAGGTCTTGGTGCAGTGCCGGACACACAGAAGTGCTTCACAAATGCTTGAAGGACCGGCTGAAGCTCCTGAGGACTGATGCTCCCTAGAACTAATTTTCAGTGACACGTTTCCTACAGTCCTATACAAAAGTAATGCAAAATTCCTGAATTTCCCTCCCCCTCCGACTCTGTGTGTGTGTTTCTGACCCTTCTCCATGTAGAGGACGTTGGGATTTAAGATCCCCTGAGAGCCTGCCCGGTGCGGCCCCGATCCCTGTAAGGCTTCAGTCTTAGAGAGCCTTGCCGTCTTCCCCCTTTTGCTTTTTCCTGGACAGCATAGGCTGGCGAGCCCATGGCCTCATCTCTCAGATTGGTCCTAAACCTTCTGGTTTGACATTATCTATAAGTAATCGTGCATCCAGCATTGCTTCCTTTTTATCTCTGTCCTTGTTGGTGAGCTGAGGTGCTGATCTGTGTCTTCTGCCACCCCGCCTCACTGTGTGTCCATTTGAACCAGGAAGCAGACAGACATTCAGGTTCTTCTTGGGCAGTGGGGTCTTATGGTTACATCTGGAAGGAGAAAAATGCAGGGTGCTACCTGCAAGGCAGTGCTTAGCAGTGTCTGAGTAAATAACTACTGGACCAAAAGCTGCCAGCTCCACCAGCTTTGTATTTCCCACCCATTTGTGAAAACTGGTGATACCGCTGATTTGTCTCTGGGAATACTTGTTTAATACTATTTTTATGCAAAAAAAAAAAAAACAATTTATACATAGAACAAAACATGTAATTTTTTCACCGTGTCCTAGGACAGAATTTCTATGGGTTTCTACTTCCATATTTCACCACATGATGTTCATAATAGAGCTGTAGAGCTTTAAACTAAGGGTCTGTTTTATGTTTTGTTTCATCCTAAATATCTTTAAAAAAAAAAAAAGGATTATGACCTGGCTATAGTGACCCTATAGGACCGAGTAGAATAGCCCTATAGGGTTTCCAAGGCTATAATCTTGGCTAGAGCAGACTGCCACATCTTTCTCGCGGGCAGTGGCTGGTGAAGTCCAAGCCGCCCACCTTTCGGTAAGCAGTCAGGAGCTTACACCTGCACCACCAGGGCTCCTGGTATAAGTAAGGAAAACAGCTGATAATTAGAAATTTATTAAACCTACATCTTCCTAAAGATAAAAGAGGCAAAGAATATGAGTCAAGGACATTTCTTTGGCTATAGAAAGGAGGTTTCCAACTCTGCTCCTGTCTAAAAGCATTCAGGGGGAGAAATTGCAAAATGGCAGGGTGATGACATGCGTTGACCAAGACTTTCGGAAATAATTGTTAGTCATCTTAACCCTAAAATGGAATTAATGGCTGCAAGTTGATTCTCTCCTTTGCTAAATTCATGTCCACGAGTTTCTGCCAGTATTAGTTTATATCCCTTCCTCTGATGCTTGGACTGCAGAGTATATGGCTGTTCCAACTTAATTTTGCAAAGGGCACCGCTGCCTGGCTGCTCAGACAGTGACCTGCTGTGTGCAGGTCAGTACCCACCTTCAGCCTTTGAGATCTGTCTTGCCATAATTTTTAAGAAACTTTAGACTGTGTCCACTCACTGAGTGCCTCCTTTGTTCCAAGCGCTAAGCTAGGAACTATGTCTGTACAGCTGAATTGAAATAAGAAAGTAAACAGATCCCTGGAAAACTTGATCATTGTTGCCTTTATCCTGTATAAAGACACCCCGAGAGGATACAGTGTTATAAAGACAGTTTATTATGTAATTTTTCTCACAGAGGAAAGACTAGAGTCGCAGCAGGTAAGTTACCGCGCTTCAGTATATATGGTTGCATTAACCTTCTGTTCCGAAAGTAATTTATACACCATGTATTTACTCATCATCATAGAAACCCGTGAAAAAGGGGCTTTGTTGTTAAGCGAACACATACCCTCAAAGTTTCTGGAGTCTGCATATCTAAAACCTTTTGTTTTTCCAGCTGTGCTTTTATTTTCCTGGCGAGTGTATATGAAGCTAGATAATTCATTCTTGTCTTTACAGATTTTTACACGAGTTAGCCCAGATCCCCAATTTTGCTGAACGTGCCCAGTGTATAATCTTCAGATCTGTCTTTTCTGAGGGTATCACCTCCTTGCACCGAAAGGTAGAAATCATCACACGAGCTTCTAAGGTATGTTTGTTGTTTCGTTTCAAAGATAGCCTTGCCCTTATTGGGAGTAAGGGAGCAAGTTGGGAGGGGGCAGAGACCGACTAGAATCCCCTGTAGAAAACCTTTTGCACTTAAGATAGTGTTTTTCTAAGTGTAATTGTGATGAATATCCTGTCCAAGTATGAGGATGTGTGTATGAGAGAGAAAAGGAGATGAAGAAGGAGCCAGAGATTGAGGAAGAGAAGGAGGAAAAATGACACTTGAAGAGATTCTTCTTAAATATTCCACGTACCTACCAATGTACGTTCTGGTCTCTTAAAACCAGCCCAAATTGTCTAGCTTGCTTTCTGGAATGCAAATGTGATTTTACATTTGACCCGTACGTTTAACCATCTGAGATGTGTCTACATGGTAAAATAAATGATTCTAGAGAATTGAGAAGTGAAATAATGATAATGAGTGATTGGCTAATAAAATTATGTTGGCGCTACCACACTAGCATTCATTATAAAGTTAAATTCTAGGATTTGGCTTTTCCTCACAACGACCCAGTTCCTTAAGAACGTGATGTTCATCTCCCCAGATATTGTGGGTATTTAGTTACTTTTCTGGGAGCAGGAGTTTTTTACCTCTCAAGTATTAGAGATTTCAATCGAGAAATCATAAATATTACCAAAGTATAATAAACTCCCCCTCATGACGCCCTGAAAAGCAAGAGCAGTGGTCTGCCCAGACCTGAATTTTGCTTTCCTTCTTTACCCTGAAATACAAGAAAATAAAATCAACCAAGACCATCAGGAAGGGTAGGGGTGGGAATTCCAATTTGAAAATATCCACTTGGAACAGAAAAATCAGAGGGAAAACAAATGAGATTGGGAGTTGAAGAAAACTATGAGCAGCTTGACACTGTAGAAGTGAATGGACATCTGAGCAAACACTTAATAAACATAGCCTGTGGCCTTACAATCTGTTATTCTAGTTCTTTCCTGAGGATTATACTGGGGAGAGGGAGGAACATACTTACTGTTACGTCTGTGTTACATTTAGCTAGACTGTTCATATAGATGCATAGTCCCCAAACAGACTCTTAAATGACCCTAAACCACTTTCTATTTAGAAGTTCTCAAAGCTTAATTACACCTAAGTAGAACAATTCTTTTTTTTTTCAACTTAATATGTTCTTTAAATAACTATTTAGAAAAATAAAACTGTCTCAGATGGAACTTTGACTTCTGATATTTAATCCTCAATGTTAGAACATGGACTGTTGCTAATTAATTCATTTAATGGGTAGGAAATAATAGCTGTTCATGTATTTTTTAAGACTTCTGGCTTGGTAAAGTGTGTTTTCCATGTCACCAACCACTGATCCTGTTGGCAGAAGCCTCGCTGCAGCCTCTGGGCACTCAGTGAATCTTTGTTGTTGGATGAACGTAGGTACGTTGTCATTTGGAGTTCAGCACCACAGTAATGGATATTTGCCGTCACAGGGTCTGCTGCGGATGAAGAGCGTGAAGGATATTTTAGCTCTCATTCTGGCTTTCGGAAATTATATGAATGGAGGAAATAGGACTCGGGGACAAGCAGATGGGTATAGCTTAGAAATTCTGCCCAAACTCAAGGACGTCAAAAGTCGGGTTAAGTATTGATTTGTTTTTCATAATGAGTGTTTATGATCTATTATTATTTTCTTTCTACAGCTTTAATTAAAAAAAATATTCTAAATGATTCAGTTTACAGTCATTTATTTTAGAGCATGCATCTTTTCCTGGAATTTCTTTCGGCTTGTGAATAAAGATAGGTTTTTCATTTTATCTTCAATGGCAAAATCTCCTCCCCTCGTTTGCCCTAAAATACAGAATTAGGTGTAGAACTGCTAATGCAGTGAGTGCAGAAAACAGATAGAGTACCATGTTAGCTGTAAGGCAGATTGAGTCTGTTGGAATTAGCGTTGGCTACTTGTAATTTACTCATTCCGGAGTGGCAGAGCAGTCTGAATCATCAGGTGAGCTGAGCGTTTGAATTATTCTTTTGCCCACAGCAATTGGGCTGGAGTCTACTGTCAGACTCCCTGAGCCTGATTATTATTTGGCTCCACACCCCTGCAGAGCTACTTCTTTAGAAATAACCAGCCCAGCTCTGGGAGTCCCATGGGGGCCAGGGGGAGGGAGGGAGGGGAGACACAGAGGCAAATTAGAATCAGGCCCATTCAAACAAGACCCGAAGGCTGTCTTGTGGGAGGGCCGGCCCACCCCTTGCTGTCCAGGGTCATAAAGGGGCATGGTGTTCCTTTTAAGCTGCCCCCTGATTTTTTTTTTCACACCATTAAGAACACCCATTTTGTGAAAGGTGGGAAGGGAGGGGTGGTTTTCTGTTCTAAGTCCCTGGTTCTCTTTAGCACTCTCCGCCCCCTCCTGTCTTAGCTTTCTGCCAGAAAATATGAGGGGACCATTTTTCTTTGTTTTAGCCATTACCGCTGAGGTTTTATGGATTATCTGTTTGTTTTTCTTTCCATAAAGGGTAGTATAGTGTCACTTCTTTGCAGAGATGGCATAAAAAAACAGATAGGACAAGGAGGAAGGAGGACAATCTTGCTAAGTCTTAAACAGAATTAGGAACAGGTATCACAAATTAGAAGTATTGGATCACAGACTGAGACTTGACCTCTCAACTATATAACGTGTGTGAATGATTTTATATAACATGTGAATGATTTTCACTTGTTTCCCTTTTAAACCTAGGATACTGGGATTAATCTGGTGGACTATGTTGTGAAGTATTACCTGCGTTACTATGACCAGGTAAGATACAGCATTTTGTGGAAAACTACAGAACGGCATTTCAACTCTTACACGCCGTTGGCATTGAGAAGTTGGATGATGGATAGGTGGATGGATGAACTTCAAGTCCAGCATAGAATTTGAGAGCTGTCCAACCTCATTGGTTTACAGATGAGAACACTGAAGCTCAGAGGATTTAGCTGACTCTTATAAAGGAAAGCATTATTCAGTGGTAGAAGTCTACTGACTCTCCATCCACTATGTATTACTTCTTCACAGAGACCCCAAGTTACCCCTGAGCCTTATGACCACATTCTGAGGTTCTTTATGAAATTTAGAGCCATTCAATAATCAGTTATAGTTGAAGTGAGATTCCAGGGTGTAGAACAAAATTCAGGAAACTATGATGCAGTCCCCGGTGGTGCAACGATTAAGCACTTGGTTGCTAACCGAAGGGTTGGTAGTTCGAATCAATCCAGCTCTTCCACAAGAGAAAGACCTGTGACAGTTGCAGCCAAGAAAACCCTATGGGGCAGTTCTCCTCTGTCCCATGCGGTTGCTATGAGTCAAAATCAACTCAATGGCACCTAACAACAACAACCAAGAGATCCAGTAATGCTCAATATTTTATCAGTAATGTTCCCCTGTGAACAAGTTGAGGACGTGGAATTTGAAATCTACCCTCTCTGGTTGGGTAACCTTTGCAATTAGAAACAAAAATTTCTGTGAGAATTCACCTAAGCACACGTTTCTGTGTTTTATTCCTTCTCATTAAACTGAGGACAAGGAGTCCTACCTTTGAGAAGAAAGAGATTCTGTTGTAACCTGTTGAAAAATCTAGCAATTAGTATGAGTGGAAAAAGTCTCATAGGAAAATGTTGTCAGGATTCCTGCTTAACTATCCATGTGAGCAGAGTTTTGCCTCGGCACTGAGGGAAAAAACGTAACGATGTAAGGCCGTGTTTTCAAAAGGCTTACGATTTTATCCAGAAGACAAGCTCAGCACTGATGAAAAATAATTGAGAAACTCTAATTTCTTCTACCTTTGGTGGAATTATCTAACAGTTCTAAGTATATCTACAACCAGGCTTATTATTTTCTACCTCTCCCCAATTTCTTCTCTATTTATATTAAAACTCTTTTGTTACCAATTTTTTTTTTTTTTTAATGGCATGTGGTTTCAGTATTGGAATGCATGCTTACTGATTGGTGTGTTTAAATTTTGGGTTGGTGATATGGATTTTGAGAAATATGATCTGGTAATACAAACCACCAATAAGGCGAGTGTCACTGTGGTGCTGCCGATCTGTGGTGTGACAGTCTACCAACAAAAACTAAATAGAGAATTTTTTGCAGGTGCCGTCCCATTAGGTTATATGGGGAACCTCTGGTTTTCCAAATATGACACAGATAAACCAAAAAACACCCAATCGGGGCTTCCTAACTATCACACAGGAAAGCCATAATTATGCTTGTAAGCTTTCTCTCACAGAAATAAAGGAAAGAAGGTAAAAGTTTACAAAACTAACACAATCCAGGAAGCATCACCTAACAGAATGCTCAACCTAGACAAGGATGAGGCTTCAGCTCCAGTCTGCTGAGCTTCAGGTATTTCTGAAGTGACCCACCTTCATGCTAAATGCATTAGAACTGGAATAACGTACTCCCTACGAGGCCCAGAGGCATAGAAAGTGGCTGGTGTGCTGTTAGACCAATAGTAACGAAAGAGTTAAGGATATCATAATTTTTGGTCATTCAGGCACGAAACCTTGTGTTCCCCTTTGGTGTCTCTCTGTCCTTTAACTAAATTGTTCTGATGTCCTTCCCTTTCTTTCCATCCCTACTGACCCCAGCTTGTTCAGGATTTCAGATAGTTCACCTGGAGAAGGGCAGTGTGCTCTCGGCCCGTCCTCCCACCTCTGGTTACTCCCCATCCCGTCCATCCCACACCCTGTGGCCTGATTACTCTTTGTATGTATGGTTCTGATCATATCACTTTCTCACTCAAAAAAAAAACATAGGGCTCCTCATTTTCCAGTGAATTAAGACTCTACCCAATTTAATTCCAATCTTTTATAACCATAATTTTATTATTTTCCCTCTACCCATATTCTGTGATCTAACTCAAGACTTGATGTTTTCCAAATACACCCTGTACTTCCTTATTAATGTGCTTTTACTTCTGATGTTCTCCCTACCTGCAACAATCTTTTCCTCTAGTCTGCGTATAAAATCTCTCTTTTTTCTTATCAATTCTCTCTGGAAATAATAAATTAAAAGATCTATTGAGAAAAAGCTCCCAGTGATTGATATGTATATTAGACTTAACCAGAAAAGTATAGACACTTATGAGGAGATATACCTAATTTTACTGAGAGTCTTATAAGTAATGACTTTAAATAAGAGAGTGATACATTCTTTGCTGGAAATACTCATAAAAATGTGTGTTTAATATTAATATATGTGTTTAATATTGCCCTAATCAAAATTCTCATCAATTTTTAGAAATTAGCTAAATGATTCTAAATATTACATGCAAAAATAATTGGGCATAATTTAATGGGAATTTTAAAAAATAATGAATACAGTTTTATGCATTTGTATATTTAAGTGTATTATAAAATTATAGAGTAATTAAAATTATGGAATGACAGAACAGATATAAAAAAATCAAGAACACCAAATAGAAATCCCATGAATGGATCTAAGTCTGAGATAAAGGAGAAATTTCAAGTAAGTGGGAATAGGAAGAAATTATTTCCTCTACCTCATCACAGAGACTAAAATAAATATTGAAGAACAAATGAGTTAAAAATAAAAGCAAACAAAAAATGAAATCATAAAAGATATACAAAAAAATCGGCAAATACATATTTATCTGATTTTAGAGTAGCAAAGTTCTGTCAAAACATTCAAGCTAAGGCAGAAACCATAAAAGGAAAGGTTGATAACTTTGAATGCATAAAAGTAAAATAATTTTAGTACCTAATTAAAATAAAAACAAAAAACAAACTTCAGCATCTCAAAAATGACTCAAACAAAGCTAAATTCTAAATAACATACTGGAGAAAATATTTGCAACATGATACATAAAGAGCTCTTCAAAATTAGCAAGAAAAAACAACCTGCCTTTTCTCATGAAAAAAAGAAAATGTCAAAGGAGACCACATGCTACTTACAAAAGACAAATAGAAGATATAAATAGTCAATTAGGGAATGTAGTGAGCTCAGATATGCAGATATAATGAAATACAATTTTTCACTTAACAAATCAGCAAAGGTTTTTGTTGTTGTTTTAAAATGATAAAGCCCTGTATTGCTAAGATGAAGAGAAATAGGAATTTAAATTGCTCAAACCTTTCTAGGTCAAATAGGATTCATGTCTAGCCTGCTGTTGACTCACCAAACTCTGACCCTGTAAAGAGCACTTTTTAAAAATTCACAAATGATGTCATCTGCTTGTCATTTGGTGTGCCCAAAGATCTGCGCCTACCTACAGCGGGTACCTTTTCCTAATTCATACAGAGCTGCTGTATGGGCTAGCAAGATATTTGACCTTTCTGTATCAAAAGCCATAGAAACATGTAAAACTTTTCTAGGAATTTTTATATAAAGGAAATAAATAAGGATTTGTATCATTTTCTTTATAATAATCTATAATGGCAACTTATTGGAAAGAACCTCAGTGTCCAATAGTAGAGACTAAGGTCAAGTAAATTATGGTAGAGCCAGACAATGGAATGATGTCCTGCCATGGGAAGCATGTAGGAGAAAATTTAGTGCCATTGGAAAGTATTCTTGATCTACACGTGAATATATAGAACATGTAAATATAAATGCATGCAAACACAGAAAAATCTGGAAAGATGTATGTTAAAATGTTTGATTATTTCTGGATAATAGGATTTTAAGAGATTTTTATTCTTACCTTCAGTTGCTAAGTGTAATGAACATATGTCACCTTTGTAAAAGGGAAAATACGTAAAGAGTAACTTAGCCAGACTGCAAGTCCAGTAGTACATGCTTCCTCTTTATTAAGTCTTTACTCATTTCCTCGTCATACAAAGCCCAGGAACATGTTCTTGGGGCTTCTCTCTTGATACATCTTATTCTGCCTTTTCTATAGTTATTTGTGAGCAATGGTTAAGAGCTACAGCTGCTCAACAAAAGGTTGGCGGTTCGAATCCACTAGCCACTGTTTGGAAACCCTATGGACAGTTCTACTCTATCCTATAGGGTCGCTATGAGTTGGAATCGACTTGACAGCAATGGGTTTGGTTTTTTATAATTTTATTTTATAATGTAGATGCTAATGAACAGTTTCTGAATTAGATGCACTGCAAATATCTACAGGTGTGTAATCAGTGGCCCCTGTAAAGAACAAGGTATGAGGAGGTGAGAGCATACCCTAAGTTCTGACAGCAGGTTCCAGTGTGGCAGAAGAATTGTCCCAAAGAACCTTGGGAAGTGAAGTTGCTAGTCCTAATTTGGCATAAGCAGGTCTACCTGATAGTGCCTGCCTCAACCAAGTCAAATGGATTGTGTAAGAAGGCTGAAATTTGCCTCTGAAATACGACTCTCGCTGAAGAGAGGTGAACCCCAAAGAATCAACTTGACAGAGGAAAATCCCACAATAAGAGCATTTTCAACACGGGATGGCCCAGTCTAGGAAACATAAAGAAGTTCACACTTCTGTGGTGCTCTCTTGGCTTTTGCCGTGCAAAACGTGTTTCACTCACCGAGAGTGTAGAATTATATGATTTATTAAACCATCCCTTCCCTCCAGGAGCATAAGTGATGATTTTTGTGGTTAGTGTTGATGAGCAATTAGCTGAAGAAAGATGGCTTCTGCTCCAAGCTTCCCTCTACTCCTGCCGGATTTTGGTCCAAGTCTAGCTCTGTGGAGTTTAAAGAAACCTGTCTAAGCCCCATCTTTTGAACTCTAATTTAGCAGCTTCCCAAGAGTTGCTCCCAGGCTGCTTTGCTTAGTAACATTTTCTCTTTTTATACCTTAAAAAGAAAAAAAAAGTTGACACCAGGACTGAGTCTGATAAAAAATTTTGGAAACTAAAAAGAGATTATTCCTCAGTCCTTCCAGTGGAGCTTTGTGGTAAGCAGCTTAGATGGCATTCCATCTCTGCCCTCAGACTAGACTGTTTCTTCCATTGTTTTTAAAGTAGTAAAATAAGTATAGGAAGATGAGGAAAAAATAAGTAAATTGATCATGGAAGATGTTCTGTTCTGGTAAAATAAAGGAAACTGCGTTCTCCTAACATTCCAGGTGAAGCTGAAGTTCTTAAAGGAAGGGGAAGTTGCCCAAGGGATTTCCGAAACCAAAAGAAACTATGATAAATTAGATGCCAGACTTCCCTGAACGGTGTTTCATAGGCTCTCAGTAACGGTGCTGACCAACTAAAAATAGTTTATTGATATGCCTGACATTGGATATTGTGTGTTTATCCAAATAACACGCGCCTTCTACATTTGTCAACCGAACACAGAAGCACGCGTTATTTACGTAAAAACGTGGTACTGTATTAGAACAAGCCACAGTTCCTACCTTCAGCGTGTTTATAATGCAGTGCTGAAGGCACACACACTGACAAGGCAGTTTTTAAATACATGTTGATTGGTGCTGTGATAATGGTGAGCACCCGGGGCTCTTGGAATACACTTGGGAAACACTCAGGTGCTGGGGTTCGAGGAAATCTTGGAGGAAGTCATCTCTGTTTTGAGATTTGAAGTATAAGTATAAATAGAGGGTATGTGGAGGGTCTGGAGAGGGACAGTTTTGTAGACAAAGGCCTAGAGGCAAGAGATCATGGCCTCTTCTATTATTTAACAAAAACTTGAGGAAAGGAGCTGGAGCTAGGGGGAAGGTAGAAATAAGACTGGAGAGGCAGACGGAAGCCAGATCATAAAGTGCCTTGTAAAGCAATTTTAGCGTTTGGAATTAATCCTGATGGCAGTAGGAAAGATGGAACGTGAAGGAGAGCTGGCAGAGTAGCCTGAGCAGAGAGAGGAATAACCGAAGGCTGCCTGAGATATGCAGGGTACAAAGCTAACATTAAACAACTCGGGGGGAAGGCAGCTCAGCTGGAAAAGACATTGGAGGCTCACCTTATCTTCCTCAGTAAGCCTGAAGGTCTTGCCCTTGAAGATGTTTCTTGGCTAAGATCCTGTATTAGGGATAGCTGTGGAGCTTTCCATACTCAGCCATGCCTCAGTAAATCTCTCTGAAAATAAGCTGAACCACATTTGGAAAAGCTTTACAAATGCATGAGGAACATGATCATATGTACGCGTGCACAGACACACACACACAGAAAGCTGTAAGCTTTAGAAGGTGGGTGATTGCTTCTCCCGTTGTGGTGCCTTCTGATCCAGCACCTTTTGATTCACACCCATGGGCTTACCCCAAGGATGACTTCCCTAATGGCTAGCCTGTGAAGTGCGAGCAGGGACTTTAGGTACTGTCACGGGTTTCCCTGTGCCTTTTTCCATGGGAGTAGAGTGTCCAAGATCAGGGCCTACCTGACCATTTTCTCTTTGACTCATGGAGCAAAATGGATGGTAGCCCATGCCATAGCCAGCTTCCATGCCAACAGGACCAAAAGGATGGTGTGAAAGGCAAGAAAACACTTTGAAGTAACCAATCCTAATTTAGGAACAGAAGAAGAACGTTGTTCTGATGCTTATTCAGACACCATCAAAGATTGTGCGTGTGTGCGCGCCCATGTGCGTGAGTGTGCGTGCGTGTGCGCGCGTGTGTGACTGGTGCTTTGAAACTTTGACAGAAAGTGATGATTGGGAAGTATAATGTACTGTTGTATATCTTTTAGGAAGCGGGAACAGAGAAGAGTGTTTTCCCCCTGCCTGAGCCACAAGATTTCTTTCTGGCCTCCCAAGTCAAATTTGAAGACCTCATAAAAGATTTGAGAAAACTGAAGCGACAACTGGAAGGTAACGGGCACTTTTCGGTTATTATGATAATAGCTAAGGTTGGTTTTGAAAAAAAATAGTTAAGGGAATTGTTTACAACTGTCTCGTGGAGTAGAATTGGCGGGGAGTTCCTTAAAGTGCACCGCAGCCCCCATGAAACTCCCCATCTCTAGGGAGTGTTGGAGGGCACTGTATTTAAGTGTCCCCCTTTTTCGTAGTGTTGATCATTTGCTTGTTATATCTACTTCCATTTTCCCGCCAAACAAAAAAAACAAACAAAAACCAAACCCATTGCAGTTGAGTTGATTCTGACTCATGGCAAAGCCACGTGTTACGGAGTAGAACTGAGCTCCATGGGGTTTTCTTGGCTGTAGTCTTTATGGAAGCAGATCACCAGGCCTTTCTTTCGAAGTGCCACTGGGTGGGTAGCAAGCACAAACTGTATACGCCACCCAGGAACTTACGTGCATTTTTCCCCCATTTGATAGTAATAACTTTAATAACAATAGTAATAATAGCGGCAGTCATTTACTGAAAACATATGTGCTTCTGGAATTGTCTTATATAATTCTTCTAAAGACCCTAATAGATAGAAACTGTATTCACCCCATTTTACAGATGTGGAAAATGAGGCTTAGACAGGTTGTGGACACACAGCCAGTCAGAGACAGAGCTGGGATTTGAACCCAGCTCTGATCAGGTCTGCCTGATTAGAACTAAAATGTTTTCTTAGCTTACTATGCTGCCTTATCTCACTCTCTCTGTCTGTCTGTCTCTTGCTCACACACACACACTCACACACACACACCCCTCTGTATACTTGGTTTATGTATATGAATCTGATAACGATGGTGAGACCCACAGTAAAACATTCTATTTTAGTTTAATTTACATTTTTAATTATTCAAAACAAAATGCTGAAAGCCCCTTTTTGGCTTTTTTAAAAGGTGAAAATGTGTCCCGCTTGGGCAGGAATGTTCCTTTGGCGTTTCTCGAGGCCTGTGTTTTCATATGGAGACATCTCCTTGTCCAAGAATATAAATACTCGCCCTGGAGCTTGTCTAACTCCAGCCGAAGGGCTCTGCGGAGGATTTAGGGAGCGTGTTAATGTGGAAATGGAAGCAGGGGTGCCAGGAGGAGAGCTTGAGGAAATGAAGAGCTTCAACCAGGAATATTTTTACACTAAGACATAAAATAAACATTTTTAAAATGTTTATGGTGGAAGGGTGCTCAGAAACCTAAGTCTTAGACCAAGAACAGCTTGGAAATGGAAGTAAAGTGGGAAAGATCTGCTCCCAGTGACAGGGAAAGCCATTTATTTTTACTTTGGGCAAAAAACTTGCTTAAATAAGGATAGCGGTTACCAGTGAATATTTGTACCTTGTAAATTATTTTTAAAGAAACGTGGGTTTTGTTTTTTGGGTTTTTCTTTCCCCCCCTCCAGTTGATATGGTTGAGAGAGTGAATTCAACCAAATGGATGCTCCGTTTAGGAATATGATATGTGAACTTGTGGTCATTTTACTTCCTCTCCTAAAGAACTGACAGTTTTACCTCTGTCTGAGATGAAGCGCTTGATTCTTGTTGTAAAAGAGTGGAGTAAGCCATCGCGTAGCCGTTTTTTCGCTCCCCACCAGCAGCAGCAGAATTAGGGCCCAGGCCGGTTCTCAGGACAGCTGGAGGGTCAGCGGTGGTCAGAAAGAGCCTCGCTTGTTTACGCTACAGGCGTACTGCCCGTCCCCTCGTGTCTCTTGGCCCCTGTAAAACCCTTGGCCTGGCCTGGCCGTTGTCTTTTGAGCAGAAACCTGATCTCTGTTTGGTCTTTCCTCTTCTTGGGCCCTCCTTCCGGGGCTGCCTCTTTCAGGCACCCAGACTCAGCTGCTTCCCCTTGATATCCGTGTGAGTTTGAGGGTGAATAGAAGGGGATTAAAAACTGATTGCTGTCCAGTTGACTTCGACTCATGGCATCCCGGTGTGTGTCAGTGTAGGACTGTGTTCCACAGGGTTTTCAATGGCTGGTTTTTTGGAAGTGAATTGCCAGGCCTTTCTTCCCAGGTGCCTCTGGATAGACACGCACCTCCAACCTTTCGGTTGGCAGCCCAGCGCATTGACTGTGGGCACCACCCAGGGACTCACACCAGTGGCTGACAAGCCATTTCTAACTCACGGCGACTCCGTGTGTGTCAGTACAACTGCCCTCCGTAGGATTTTCAGTGGCTGATTTTTCGGAAGTAGTTTGCCAGGCCTTTCTTCCAAGGCACCTCTGGGTGAACCTGAACCTCCAGCTTTTCAGTTAACAGTCGAGCACCTTAACCATTTGCGCCACCCAGGGATTCCAGAAACGGAATAAGATGAGTGAACTGGGAAGAGGACAGACAGACAGGGGTTCCCCTGACACTCCCCCGGGGGTAAAGCTTGTTTGTTTAGGGAGGCCCGTATATGTTATTCGGATCCCCCAGTGCTCAGCTGACACTGTCCTCAGTCAGTTTTGAGGAAATACAAGAGCTTCTGAAGCTGGTGGAGCTGCGTTTTGAAAAAACTGAACATTGCCTCAGTTATTATTTTTTGTCTTTGTACGGGACTTCACCAAAAGATTTGAAGTACCACAAAGGCAACTGAGTAGACTCTGACACCCCTCCCACACACACTGAATATTAAACAAAAATGCCCTGCTTGTCTTTAGAGATGCCAGTGTTTTTAACACATGAAAGGTACCCAGTAAATATTTAAAGAAAATACAGACCATGGGTTCTCTAATGAATTTCTTTTTCTTCCAAAGACCATCTGGCAAGACAGCCAGAGTTGTGGGGTTCATTTCATCTCACGTTCTCATTCCGGCTTAACCTCGTTTTCCATGAGGCCTTGGTCTGAGTTTAGATTGCATGTTTAATTGAAGAGGACATAATTTTCACACATACAGCGAAGATTTGATGAGGCTCTGAGGTTTATTGTAGCCATTAAAATGCCGTGGCTGCTGGCAAAATCCCAGAAATTGTCTAAAGCTAAACCAGATGTGATTAGCAAATTTCAAGAAGTATCAGGCCCCAGTTCTCTAGACAGGCACAGCCTTTTGGAAGAAAATCGCTGTGAATCCTGTTCATCACAGCTTAACAATAGGATGTGAATTAAACTATGACATGGGTCATGGAACAGTCATTGATACATGTAGAGTTGTCAGTCGGCACCTTTCAGGAAGACAGGAGTTTTCAGTAGCATTTTTATGCAGGTAAACCAGCAAGGAAGTGATAATAATATCAGCTACAAGTGGAGTAATTATTATCTATCAGGTGCTTTGCACATATCCTTTCTTTTCATTCTTACAATGAGCCTGTGAAGCAGGCATTATTGTTATCTTTTACAAGGTGAGGAAACTGAAGTTCATGGCGCTCAGGTAATTTGCCAGGGTTTCACAGGTGGTGACCTAGCCACATTTGGGAAACTAGATACGACTCTAAAGCATATACCAGCACCATAATATATCCTGCTTCTGGCCTGAAAGTCTCCATATCTGACTGAAGATCAGAACAGAAAAGCATGTAGTCGAAGCATAAAGCCTCGTGAAAATACAAGCGACAGAAATAGCATTCCTGAATATGTGCACACGTGCACACGCACATACATGTACACGCGTGCACACACACATGCATACGCACATGCATGCACATGCGCGCACACATGCACATACATACACACGCACACACATGCACACACGTGCACGCACACATGTGCACACATGCACGCACGCACACATGCACACACAAACATGCGCACACGTGCACACATACATGCACACGCACATACATGCGCACACGTGCGCACACACACATACATGCACACACATGCACACGCGCACACATACATGCACACGCACATACATGTGCACACGTGCACATGCACATACATGCACACGCACATACATGTGTGAAGGTGCACATGCACATACGTGCACGTGCACACACATGCACACATATACACATGAACACACGTGCATGCACACACATATATATGCACACAGACACGCACACGTGCACACACGCACACACATTATATACACATGTACACAAGTGCATGCACACACACATATGCACACATACAGGCACACGCACACACATGCACACACGTGCACACACATGCACACACACATTATATACACATGTACACGTGCATGCACACACATATATATGCACACATACAGGCACACATGCACACATACATGTACACACGTGCATTTTCTCTCTCCCCCAGGACCACATATGTAGAAACTCAGAGACACAGGGAAGAACTTACTTTGGTTGGGATAGGGTAGGGGAAGTACAAGATAGACAGGTAATTAAAGCAAATAGACATTAGTATTGCATAGGATTAAGAACTTAGACTTTGGAATCGGATGTGTACTTTTTTACTGGTTTGATAAAAATAAGATCTTGGCAAGTAATCTAACCATAAAGAAGTATTTGTTTTCTCATCTGTGAAATGGGACAATTACGGTACCTGCCTTGTGGGCAATAATGAATGCATGGTCCCTTAGTAAGGGAAGCTTCAACAAAGCTGATTAGGGTATGTAGTTTTACCGGAAGATGCATAATCTGCAGACTCAGGTCTGTGTTGTTGAGGGGCCAGCTGGCTGTGTTTGTAGAGTATCCACTTCTCAGAGCACTTGTGCTAGCTTCTCTACATCGTGAGGCCAGAACCAAGTTCTTGGTCCCAGGGAACACGTTCCATATTTTATTTACTCTTCTCCATCACTGAATCAGACAAGAATTTTTATTTCGGGATACTGTGATGCTATAAGCAATAGCTGGGGATAGGGCAGAGATAGGAATTGTTGCTTTTTTCTTACTCTTTTACCTTGTTCTCTGGGGGGAGCTCTCAAGGTATTCTTACCAACCCATGTGTGGTAGACAGCATAATGGCCCCAAAGATGCCCACACCCCAACCCCCAGAATCTGAGACTGTGTTAAGTTTACATGGCACAAGGGACTTTGCAGATGTGACTAAGGATATGGCCTTGAGGTGTGGAGA